CACCTCTCATTTTCTCAAAGAAAAAGATGATGATGATGCATTTTAGGAGCACTATTTCTCGAAAGGAAACTTCATGATATAACAGTGAGTGGGAAATTGCTTCTTGGTTCTTCTATCTAAATTCTCCTATCCTCTATTAAAGCTCTTTCTAGTCACTTCTAATTAAAATGCATTCAGGAAATTTCTTTAAACTGGATGAAACAGATGAAAGTTTACCTTTTGTTGCATATGGGATTTTTTTTTATTTTGGAGCAATTAAGGAAGTCCTAATGTGTAGACATGATAATTTAGGCGCGATGGCTGTCTCTTCTATAGAGACCTGTGTTTGGCTTTTTCTGGTGCTACAGGTGCTGTGGTATACCCCAAGTGCTCTCAGGGCTTCAGGGGTTGTTATTTCTCCTTTTCAACAGTAACTGCTGGCTTCCTAAAGTGGTGCAATGTGGCAATTTTAAATCAAGGGGAAAAAAAAAAACTTCAAAAAATTAGAACCAGTTAAGTCCTAGACATTTCAGTAAATGCAACATCAAGTAAACCTAAAAGCTCTGGGTTCAGTTCAAAAAAGAACAATCAAATAAAATCTCTAAGAAACAAAACCTTGGCCCACTGGCCTTTGTACCATTCCCATTAGGAAAAACAAAGTAGGCGACGGTCTCTCTCTTACCTACGCAGCACACATCTGATCACTTGGCCATGTCATGGAAACTGAAACTTCCACCACCAGCCATAAGAGTTCAGACGCCCCCGGTAGTTTTAATCTAAAAGCTCAGTCATCCTGTTCTTCCTGCTTTGTCAGCTTTTGTGGAGAGTTTTTCCCTTCTTCCCATTAGCAGAAATTTGGTTCACGCCGTTAAACAGCAGCACAGTGTCCAAACTGCATATCAAGGCTGCAACGCAATCTTCAGGTCCTGCAGCCATTCGTAAACCTCTTTAGCTTTGTTCTTGGGTAGAACATACAATGTCTGCAGAGTCCCTTGACTGAATGACAGCCTTTGAATGCCATTGTTATGTACTCATACAGAGAGATGTACACAGAGGTACATACACAGACGGTGGACATAGCGGTTGTAATACTGTGCACTGCTGGCTAGTCTTCTTTCAAGCGGACAAGAATTTCCCCACAATTGGATACAAAGTAAGATAAGGAAATTTCACGTGCTTTTAGAATTCTATCATGGTCTGCACTATTCATAAAGTAGTCAGGGAAAGGAAGACTCATGGGTAGTTACCTAAGGGCAGGCAGCAGTCTGGGATGTAAGCATGTTATCTAGTACTGGTCAAACATTTTGATAGCAAAATGGAAAATGAAAAAAGCTTCATCAAAGGAGTTCCCTATTCCAGACTGGATTAGCTCTACTCAAAAACTTGTTTGGGATATGAAAATCCATGAGGTTGTCAGCCTTCACTGTCTCAAGAGGCAGAAAAGGCAAGAGGGCGGTAGAGTTAGAAAGGAAGGAGGAGAAGGAAGAGGAAGAGGAGGAGGAGGAGGAGGAAGAGGAGGGAGGGAGGGAGGGAGAGAGAGGGAGAGAGGGGGAGAGAGAGAGAGAGAGAAAGAAAGAGAGACACTCCAACCCAGAAGCCAGCTGACTGCAGTGCAGCAGAAGCACAAGCGCTATTCCAGACCGTGGGCATGCTGTCACCCGACTCCTCATGGGGGTCGGGGGGAGGGCAGGGAGAGGGAGAGGGGACACACGAGACAGAAAAGAACAAGGCACAAGGCACAGAGAAGTGCCCACATTTGAACAAACAAACAAAAGCCATCACACGCACCCACACACCAGTAATCAGAGTAGTGGGGGACATCACCCGTGCGCTAACCACCCATGCAGCCTGCCATCAGCTTCAGGCCCTGTGCTGTCAGGATTTGGCAGTGGGTTTTTTTTCTTTCTTTCTTTTTTTGCATCTCTCAACATGCACACACAACACAGGATTTTTCCTGTGCAGGCCTTTAAGGATGAGCTCCAAATCCACAGGTGCTCAAGATTCTTATTCAAAAAAGACCCCTTTGTGTCAGCCTTGCCTAAAAATCTCATTCTTACACTCACATTTATCTTTATTTTCAGTGAGATTCTTAAAACATATTATGGTGAGTTGTCGGTTGGTTTTCTTTTGGAGAAAATCCATTTGGTTTTTGAATCATGCCCATGCACTTCTAACCTTCCAATACATGCTTATTCAAATCAGATATTGATAAAAACAGTCAACATACATGAACAACTAGTATAAGCTTCATACATACTCCAGCAACACAAGCTTGAATAAAATGTTTTAATGAGTCTTCAAAGGGAAAGCTTCCCCCAAATAATTTCTTTTCCTTTTAATGAAAGAAAATAGCACTATAGAAAGAAATCCAGTACAATTTTTAAGATCAGTAAGATGGTCACAGCTGGCTGCCCTAGTATGTCTTGTCATTTAAGTTGCTAAGTGATCAAGTCACTTAACATTGTTCTCTGGGCCCAGGTCACTGTAAGGACCATCTCAAGGTCATTATCAAGTGAATGTAAGTCAAATGGTTGCTGTACTGAAGAAGTTGGGTCTCTAGCCAGAGTGTATGAGGATAAAATCAATTTTATATCATAATTATCCCCTTGGAAATCCGTTTCCTTGGTCTGTGATTTCCACTTTATTTTTTTACCTTTACATATACACCTTTTTATTCTGACAACTGACTTGGAAATTTTTTTCCCCTCCTGTCAAGTAAAATTTCAGACACTGGTTTTCATCAGCGACTTCTGCTGTGGGCTAGAGGGACTGCTGGCCAAAATAGTGGTTGGAGCCATTTGAGAAGAGGCTATGAGGATCATGACAAGGGAAGAATGTATTTATAAATGCATGATGCAGGGATCAGCTCGGACTGTCCACGAGTTCTCTGTTCCTCTGTTGTTAAGGAGTCCAATTTAAAGCATAAGAGATACACAATACAAGAGAGCTATTCCTGCTATTCCCTCACAAGTGTCTCATGTACTCTAGTTGACAATCCTATATCCCTGGCTTGATGCTTCCTAACATAAGAAAGGCGATGACTCTCATGGCACACAGTCACCCCTATTTTGTGCCACAGGTATGTTGTAAAACCCTGATCCAAGTGTTCAGAGATACTCCCTTTTCCCCTCCCCTCTCTCTTTTTAAAGAGAGAAACTTAATTAAAAGGAGTACCCTAAAATTAGGATTGGCTCCTAGTTGGTTTCTCACATTTTAGACCAGGGACAAATTTCCTAGTTTGCATGTCCTGTCCAGGTGTTTAAGGGCAAACTCCAAAAATACAAGTACATGAATTTTCTTGAAGGAACCTAGAAAATGGAACTCTGGAGCTTTAGGAGACAAATGCTTAATATTTCTTCAAAGATCCCAGAGAATTCAGGAACCTAGGTTATGCTTGACCCTGGAGTTAATTACAGGAAGCCTAGAATTTAGAGTACTTTAAAAAGAATAAAACAAAATCTCCTGAACTACATTAAAATAACCTTACAGCTCTCAGAATAATCAATAAAAGTCAGGAGGTGCTCAATTAATGATGAAACATACAAATAGCTAAGCTTAATGGAGCACAGCCCAGTTCTGAGGGGGCATTACTTTAAAATGCGTAAGTTTTATACCTAATTGATTTCTCATGACTGTCAGGTGTACCCGGCCCTTTATTTTATGAACACTTTGCTTGTGTCAATGGAAGGAAAGGACAGAATGAAGTGGTGGTGGGGTGGAGAACCCTTTCATTCCCTACCTAAGTTTGTTTTGCTTTTTCAAAATTCATCATGGGAGATGCCCATACTTGAGGGTGATCTGCCAATCCTGACCAAAGGTGGCTGTTTAAGGACAGCTCAACACACGTTTGACTTAGAGATATTCAACTCATACACCCTCAGACATAGTCCTCCAAGAAAGTCAGACTAGTCTAGGTGTTACTCTCAATGCTGAATTAATGGTACAAGTTGGCTGATCGCCTCTTGTCATGTAAGTGACAGATTTTCACCCTGGACAGCATATAAAATGATGGAAGCAGGCCCTTTACCACATGATTCCCTTGGATTCAGTTATTAAAATTCAGCACCCTGCCCCCAAACTAACTTATCTTTCTCTAAGCACAAGCTTGCCATGGTTAGATTTGTGCTGAATAATAAAATAAGATACATATGAAACATGATTCTTATTTTCTGATTGAAAAACAACACAGGAAATTTAATAGATCTGTCCTTAGCCAGTAAGCCATGGGTGATGGGGTAAAAGATTATGTTTTCTGATGTCTCTGTCTGAGGTTTATTCACTCAGTTTTTAGTCACTTTATGGCTAAAAATTGAACCACCTCCTTATTATTTGGCCTATAAGGTACCATGCATCAAGGACTTCTTTTAGGTCCTACTTCATGCTATACAAATGGACATCAGGAGTATTCTTGGTTTAGAGATATTTCCTGCCCAATGTAAGCATAGACTTAAAAGAGACTTGGGGAGGGGTGGGATGGTAAGTTTGCTTGAATGAAAGTCAGGACCCATCTAAAGAAGACCAATGGTCTTCCTCTCACCATGTCAGGAATTTAAATAGGGATTGCTCTCCTGGATCTTTAGTCTCAACTACTAGGAGGACACAAAAAAACTCATTTTCAAAATATACCTGAGGTTAAAAGCTAGTAAGTGATGGCTGGGCTTTTAATTCAGATGCTAGCTCTTTAGATAAATATTTGGGGATTTTAAAAGAACGAAGTCTCCTTTATTTCAAGGAGACTTTATTTGATGGATTTTTAAAAGCAAGGAGGACTATGTGATGGACACCTTGCCATGCCTGCCACCGGCAAGGCTTCATCTCAGACTGCAACCACTGGCCATTGAACTCACAACAAAAATGACAAGACTTGGTGCAAATTCAAGCCTTAAAAGATTACAGTATGTCTATGAGATCAGCCTACTTGAAGCATGCTTTCCCTTGAAGACCACATTTCTCTTTTTCCCAGGCTTGCCTTGCCACTCAGCAACGCTGAGAAAGTAGATAAACAGTAATGTGATACCAACCGTGAACTGCTGGTTCTGTCGTCGCCGTGGTGTCTACAGACGGGAACAGAGGATTGGAGGAAGGGAAGAGACAGGAGGAACAGCATGCAAAAAAAGGGAAAATGGAAAAAAAATGGAACAGATAATATATGAGCAAGCTTTCAAAGAACACCGCGTGACAAGCAATAATAAATGAAAAGCCAAAAGCATTTGAAGTGAGTTGCACTGTTTTAAGACATGCCTTGAGCTCAAAGCTGCGAGCCAGTGAGGAAAACAGTAAATTCTTTGATTCTAGGGGTCTTGCCAGGACACATGTATTTGAGACTCAATAGTCAGGGGACATGCAAAGTGATGAGAAACACCAGTGCAAACTCAGTGGCTGCTAGATGGTTCTTAACGCACTGAAGCTCAGGACCATGACAGAAAAGCTCAGTCAGAAGGCTGGTTAAACAATGGATTCAGACATTCAAACATTGCCTTTGGTTTTAACCCAACCCACCCAGTATTGAAGCTTCTTGACTGGAAATTGGGCACTGCCAAACCACTCCCACTTTTAGAAGGATCTTTTTTCCGGCTGATGCTCAGATGCTTGCAGATGAACATGCAACACACAGGTTCAAGTTCTCCATCTACTGTGTTCAGCAGAGTTCAGCAGAGTTTAGCTGGCAAGTTTATCTCATGGAGAGGCCATGGGAGTGAACATGGCCAAGGTTTTCACAGGTACATACACATATAAACACACACACACACACACACACACCAATTTTTCATTCTGCAAAATACATTATAATCCAAGAGCCTTTCACAAAACCACACATGTTCACACAGTTGGCCAAATGCCACTTGTGAATTCTAAAAACTTCAGTATTCAGCCATCCCTGTGTTCAGCGTTAGGTCCACAGGTTGGGCAGCTAGGATTTTTTCCTTGATGGCTGAGTGAGGAGCTGGAGTGGCTATCCTCATCAGGCTAACCCACTTGCTCTGGTTTGTGTCTTTCCCTCCATCAGGCTGTCGACTGGCTCCTCCTCTTAGGAAATTCCTCTGAAGCACTCAAGGAAGGAATTTTCTCCTTACTTGGGATAAATATCTAACAAAATGCACAAAAATATTATTTTTCCTGAGTAATTTTAACACTTTTCTTCTAGTGAACTGCATTCCAACATCAACGTATCAGGCCCTGCTTTGATGTTCAGGTCTGTGGCTTTCAAGTGGGTTTCTGGTACAAGTCTTTTCCAGGCAGGAAGGGCTGGTAATGCTGAGCCATGAACTAGTCTTCTCTAGTCAGAAGCTGGTGGTTGAATGGGATTGTGGATTAGCATTACACACAGTCCCTTGTCATTTTAATGATGCAGTTTTTTACTGTTCATTGTTTCTGCTGGGTTCTGGAGACTCCAATAGACTCTTTTGGATAGGCAATGTTTAAATGCACTGGAACATCAAACATAGAACTCTTTTTTTGGGGTCAAATGAGCCTGGAGCTTCTGATTTTTAAGTATGACACATGGATTCACACTGGTGTTCCCCTTCAGTTGGCATGTTCTCCTTAAAACTCTATTATCATAAAAAAAAAAATTAGAGCCCTTCTAAGGAGCCAGAATTAACGAGAGGTCTGAGAGGCCAAAGCATCTTAATATAACTGATAGTTGAATTTCTCAGGAATAAAGGAAAGAAAACCATAAAATACACTGTATAAGAATGCAATACTTACAAGTCAAGTCTGTGTGCACAAAATAGCAGTTAAAAACAATGCAGGAAATTGTACAGTTGAAACAACACCCTATACCAGAGTCTCATGACAAAGATGATGCATCTCCACCGTTGAAACATTTGAGGCTAGCGTTAGTTTGAGACACTTTAAATTGGAGGGGCAGGATGAAATGCACATTTGGACAGAAACATTTGTATGTGTGGTAATACATTTTATGGGCAGACATTGGCTCCTTTCCAAATCAGAAAAGAAAAAGGTATGAACGCTTTGGCTCATTCTTTTTGTGGTGGCACTTCTAATATGCTTTTAAAAAAAGAAAGAACAGGTAAATCATTACTATATAATGAAAGAAAGGGGGTACAGTAAAATGTCAGGGTTAGAATTCTTAAAAGTCATATCTAATCATTGACCAATGGCCCCAATTTACTGTCTTCCTGCATCACAACATGCCAGCTTCATGACAAAATTAAACCAGGTGAAGCCAGGCATCAGCTCTTACATGGGTTCTGGACAGTAAATGCAGGCACGCTATGATACATTTTGCTTTCCCACTCTGAGGATGGGAAATCCATCAACTGCACTCAACAGAAGAGAAATAGGGATGTTGAGGAGGAAAAGCACATTCTGAAACAGGTAAGCAAACACATGTTCAAGTCAAACGACACAGTTATTGCAGTTGGAAAAGACAAACCCATGATTAGCAACGGCTGGGCTGCTACAGCAGGAACATGGGTTGGCAATGGAGCTCAAGTCAGGACTGAGGTTGTGTCCAGGGAGCTACTGACTCAGTCTTTCAAAGAGAATCTGGTATGTGACCTGAGCAGGAGCTATTTCAAGTCAAGAATGAAAGCAAATGCTTTAGAAGTGGCTTTGCGCTCCCCGAAGAAGGGCACAGGACAGGATCTAATTCTCCTTCGTAAACTGCATTATGACCTCACACAGAAATCACAGACACCCTGGCTCTGGGGTGAGTGCAGTGTCATGAAGCAGGATTTATTACGGTATCTTCATGAGAAGATGGAGAAAAGTATAAGCCCACCACTGTGATTCAGCTTGTGAGGGTCACTGGAGTATCTGATAATATTCTAACTATATGGGACAAATGCAAACAAAATTTCCAATGTGAGTTATGAATGTTATCATCAGTTTAAAAATATGAGCGTGACTAATTGCCCTAACAAAATTTTTAAATCTCATTTTGTTGTTACCTTAAAACAAAACAAAACAAAAACCTTCACACTAGGCCTATGAAAAAAACAGGTCACAAAAAGTTGAACTGAACTTTGGGAGGCATTGATTATAATGTTGAAAAGGCTCAGGTAAGCTTTTGTTTCTAGTTTTAATTATAACAAGGGCAAATTTATTATTTTATATGTTTTTTAAGAAGCCCAAAGAAAACAAACCAAAACAACCCAATCCCCTGCTCTCAAACTCACTAAATATGTTAGGGTTCTAATAAGCATTCCCCAGCTGTTTGATGAGTTTATAATCAAGAAGGTATCTGAGAAAGGGCCCTGTGTTGTTCCTTAAGAGACACACATTTCTCTAAGTACCGACTTCCCTTCTTAGGCTCACAGCTCTATAGTTAATGTGACCCTGACTCAAGAACAAAACATCACAGATATTTCTTGCTGCAGTGTAAGATATTTGCAAAGGAAAATGCTTTCACACTATGTGAGATTAGAGACACTAGCCTTTTAACCAAGTAGCTAAGTAGAAAAAAAATGCGAGGCAGCTGGGCAATATTTAGTTGAAACAGTCATGTGTAAACTCCACTGTGGCCCACTCTAATCCTTTCATATGGATTCTCTCCAACTTAGAATTGTTCATTGAGTGTGACAGACCGGGGGTTTAAAACTAATCCATAAATTAGTCCGTGGTCTCAAACACAATGGGTGCCATAAATGAAAATGAAAATCCTAGAGCAAAATTAAATTCATAACCTTAAATACTTTTCTTACCCAACTGATCTATGCTGCAACTGCTTTACAATGCAGAGTCAAAGAAAGGCTGTGGGTTCTGATATGTGAGACCAGGTGTACACTGAGGAATTCAGTGGGTACAACCCAGAGAATCCAACCTACTCCAGAGTGTAACTGTAAGGGATTTAATGCCCCTGTTTTGATTGTCATAAGCTTAAAGGGAAGCATAGCAAGCAGTCCAGACATATTTTAATACACTTTCCCTCAGTTTACTTTCCTAACTAAAGTCAATAAAGAACCAATGACCAATGGGTTCCTTAATTGAATTCCTTTTCATTCTTTGTTATGGAGGGGCTTTAAATCTAGGCACAGGGGCAGGCAAAAAAAAAAAAAAAATCCCCTTGACAGTTTATTTCATAGCTGTGCTCACCAATATATATTAAATATGGGCCTTTTATTTTTTCAACTTATTTGAAATGTACTGAAAACAAAACTAAATGCTAAAATTTAAACATTGGAATTAATTTTCTACTGATTTTCCAGTTAACTGGCCCCTATGTTTTGCTTTAATTAATCTCCCATATCTTAAGGATTGAGGAGGTGGCTAAGAACAGAACTAAACTAAAGGTCTGAACTGAAGTTCTCTAAGAAACGTGTGCGTGCCCGTGTGTGTGTGTGTGTGTCTGTGTCTATTTGGTGTGTGAAGGTATGAACTCACATGTTGGGGTGTGGGTAGAGACCAGGAGTTGACATCAGGATCAGACATCTTTCTTCAGTGGCTTCTCCACCTTATTCTTTTGAGACAGAGTCTCTCCCTGAACCAGAAGCTCACCATTTTGGTTAGATTGGCTATCCGGTAAGCTCCTAGGATTCTCCTGACTCTATTTGCCAGTGCTAAGGTTACAGGCATGTGCTGCCACACCTGGTTTCTTATGCGAGTGCTGGGGATCTGAACTCAGGTCCCCATGCTTAGGCAGCAAGCTCTTTACACACTGAGCCATCCCCCAACCCTATTTTACTTTCTAAATGTCACCTTCCCATAGACTGAAGAGACTGTGTGCCCCACAACTGCAGGAAAAGGAGTGAATTTTTTGTCTTGTTAAGCAATTTCAAGTTTTGTTAAAAGCTTCTTCAAAACTGTTCACTCTGTGCTGCTGTGCCCCAGAGATCTTTTCATTTGCAAACCAGATGTTCTATAAAATAATAGGAATCTGTACTGTGGTTTCCTTTAACAAGGAAAACAATTTGCATAACTGGCCTCTGAGAATGCTGTGAAAGAGGAACCAAGGGGTAAAGACACAGGGCAAGGGAAGAAGAACTCGGTGGTGTGGGAAGGGATGTGAGAGGGAAGAAGGAAGGGCTCTGCAAGACGAACCAATACTCATATTAGATACTGCAAGGTGGGGCACTTCATGTTCAGTTCT